GCCGCGCACATACAGTGTGATTGAAACTTCGTGGCCCATGCGCAGAAGTCGGTTTTCAGCCTGGGCGAGTCTATTTTGAAGAAGTGGCGTTAGAAGAAGTGGGGGGTGTCGGTCGGCCCGTCGGTCCGTCGGTCGGTCCGGCGATGGGAGACACGGGGCAGGCGGGCCTCGGGATACGCAGCGCGGGGTAGGTGCGCTTGATTCATGCACCAGTTGGTATGTTGAGATGGTTTGGACATATAGAGAGGATGAATGAAAGGAGATAGACGAAACAAGTATATAAGAGGAGTGTGGATGGGAGAGTTGTAAGGGGTCGACCTCAGCGAACGTACCTCAATCAGATTGAGGATGTTTTTAGCAAAGGCCAGCTTAGGAGTACCCTAATTAAGTTAATAACAAAGTACCTACCTATATAGTTTAAGTTTAAAAAATTTGGCTCTCCAAAGAAATTTCAATTGTTGTACTGTTGATATTTGGCTCTGTTGGCTAATGAGTTTGCCGAACACTGGGTTAGGGCATAGGTGTTATTTCAATATGTTTGAAAATTAATGTATAATATGTCAGAGACATAAATTTAAACTGGTTTCCATATGTATTCACTCTATCACCTTTATGTAATTTAACTTTCATCATTATAAATGTATAAAAATTAGAAGTAATCCTTACCATCTGTCACAGAGCCTAGAGCTTTAATTTTTAATTTGTCTTTATTGTTGAAAGTATTGTATATGTCCATCCTCCCACCGCCCCATTTCCCCTTTCTAGCCCCACCCTCAGGCCTTCAAAGCACTGTTGTTTGTGTCTATGGGTTATGCATCTATGCATATAAGTACTTTGAGCTTTAAACCAATTGAAGCACTTTTCAAAGTAAATGCCATTCTTATCTTTTTACTTTTCAAAGTAAATGCAAGTCTAAGATAAAGATATAGGGCTTTTTGTTATATTGTTTTTATACTCCCAAATACTTGCTTTTCAGTTCTATATACCGTCATTGTATATAGCCTTTTGCCTCCACCATGTAGCCACTAGAAAGAAATTTAAAGCTAATGTCATGTGAAAAATTGGACCTTTCCAGCTGTTACCTTTCCTAGATCTATTAGTATTTAAACGTTTCTCTAGAGTTGAGATGTGGCCATTCCAATGGAATCTGGTAACCTGTTTATTTATTGCATCAAATGATCAAAATTAATCACTCCTCCAATTTGCAATTGAGTCAGATGCAACCGGTGTAGCTGAGGAATGACAGTAAATATATGGATTTAGTTGCTGATATCACCTGGGCTGTCATCACAGATGGGAATAGTGGAAACAGATGTTAAGATTCTTTGTATTAATCAACAAGCAGGGTATGTCAGAAACATGACTGTATCTTTGCTCCTTAATTTTAAAATAAAACTTCCATGTTCTCTGTTGTCTGAGACAAAACAATAATAATTTAACCTTCTAATGTGTGTATTAAAAATTATAGATGACAGGTTAGTGAATGTAGTCAAAGCAACCTCAACAGAATTATCCTATGGCTGAGAGATATTGGGAATGTGAATTTCACCACTGAAATCTCTGGCAGCAGTTTGGACTCCAAATGAAGTAAAATCAATATTTACTTCCTTTATTTAATGACTAAATAATTGATGTAATTTAGATGAATAAATGTAAGTGCAAATTTTATTATTGATTTATTAATTTCTATGTCTCCAGAGATAGTCTTCGAAGTATGCAATGTGCACTATTCACAATTTCTTCCATTTTCTGCCCATATTCTAGGGTAGCACAGTTTATATTCAGATACCATAATTTTTCAATAATGGGATATGGGAGGCCCATCTACTTCCTCCTAGCCAAAGCCCTATGCATTCCACATTGTGCAGCCATCCAAAATATAGGGTGATTCTGAGAGCAGTGATACCTTCGATGAATTTTAAGTTAATGGGAAATCAATAAGAAATTTGGTAAATAAGTTATTAACATGGCCCTTAGTACATGGTAGATGACAAAACATATTTGATGTGTTGTTGAATGACATATACAGTGTACTCTGGCCAAGTAGACCGAGCCTTTTGAAATTGCTCACCTTTTGAGGACTGCATATACTTCAAGAAGCTACCTTTTAGCATTTTTTAAAATACATTTTTATTGATTTCAGAGAGGAAGGGAGAGGGAGAGAGACATAGAAACATCAGTGATGAGAGAGAATCATTGGTCGGCTGCCTTCTGCACACTAGGGCTCCCCACTGGGGATGGAGCCTGAAACCCAGGCACGTGCCCTGACCTGGAATCGAACAGTGACCTCCTGGTCCATAGGTCAACACTCAACCACTGAGTCATGCCGGCCAGACGCTTTTAGCATATCTGTCTATTCAGTGAGATACCAGATAATAGCATGGGATCTGCGGATTTTGCTGATGTTACTGCCTTTTTGGTAATGCGGCTGTTTACACTTCCATTTGTAATTTAAATGTAGCTTTAAAATAATTACAGAGCTCATACATCAGAGGATGCAAATAGATAAAGCAGCTTTTATGCATGTCCCAAATAATAAGTCACAGGATACTTGGCCTGTGAGACTTGGACAAGAGGACTAGGGCTGCTACTTAACCATACTGGGCATGGCCCCGTCATTGTGTAACAATTCCTCACTAACATCATACAACTTAGATCTTACATATCTTGCTTCTTATCAAGCCCAGATTTACTTTAAGAAAAGCACTTCGGCAACCCTAAAAAAATGTCAGTGTCCATATTTTAGCTAAATATATATTGAGCAGTCATTTTAAATTTAGCAATTACATTTAAACTAGCATATGTATCTTTGTTAATGCCTTTTTTTAACTCCGATAATATTTTTGTTTTGGTACCAAGTATAGGTTTATTAAAATATAGATATTTGGATATGGTTTTTTGTTTGCAGATGTCCTTCTTCATTTGGATATAAATGTTTTACTAGGAGCCTGAGCAAAACACCACAAAGTGCTTAAACAATTACATCTAGAAAAGAACAGAAATTTATTTTGAGATCTTTTTGTTCCAAAGGTTCTTCCCCCATAGAAAGACTCTAACTGCCATTAAAATCCAAAATAAATAAACCACAAATGTGAAAATAATTACAGAGAAGGTCACACAAAATGAATATAAATGGTTCAGGGTGAAAATGGCCTCAAACACATAAATCAGAGGCCCTGGAAATAATACTCCCCCCTTTCTTTTTTCTCGGGAAGGAAGAACATGTGCTAACTTTGATTGGTCTTTATTGCTCTGACCCAGAGTACCAGAACCAATTTATCTTGCCCTAAATGACTGGTAACAGCAACAACAACAAAAAAAAGTTTTTGTGTATGAATTGTCCGTGGCCTTAGACATGAATGAGATGTGTCCAAGAAAGGATGTATGGATTTCATCGTCTTTAGAAGTAGACTGTTGGAGGAGGGGGGTATTTTTGAATAAACAATGTGAATTTGAAAATATCTGTTTTGTGCAAATATTTTTTTCTATATTGATAAGTCTATCTTGATCGTACTAGTTATTATTAGCCTGAAGGTAGAAGGACTTCTCAACTGATTCCATTTTGTAGCAATATTACCCAAATGACTCTTCATTGCTATTTATTTACTGAATGGATTAGTTCTGAGAGAAAATGGAACCGCCCTTTGTACTCCACATCTCTGTCCACTGAGTCCCCAGCTGGAGAAAGACTGCACTGTCTCTGCCCAGGCTCCACGGTAGGCCAGGCCCCATCCTTTGATCCGATGTGGTGACTTGTAGATGGAGGACACCGAGACCCTGGGCCATTGCAACCCCAATGAACCGGAATCTCCAGACATGAGGTCTGTGCAATTATAATTTCCCAAAGCTCCCCAACTGATACGAATACGCTGCTGGGTCAGAGCACCCCAGAAATCATGCACAGGCCTCCTACTTGCAAATTTTAGTACTTTCTCCACAATTGCAGCTCCAGGGTAGATGCTCTTCTGATAGGATGTGAGAAATGATGTGAAGGACATCATTTTCCTAAACATGGGAGGCCTGATGTAACACTGAAGCTGAGGAAATCAGCCCCCAGCTTTATTCTTCCCAGAGCAGGGATGTGTGCTCTCACTTTTCAGAGACCTTTTAGACAGGGCAGCTCGCAGGGGCTAAATCTGGGCCAGCTTTAGAGACAGAGAAGTCTCTTTCCTGGCCTAAACTGACGAATGGTGGGATGCTCAGTGTTATTGGAAAAATGCATCAACACCTTAACATGTTTATTTAAATGAAGCTTGGCAAACCTATATGCAGGGAAAAAAAACCTGTGCTGCTTGATTCTCAGCTATGAGATTTATTTATGGGGGGGGGGCGGGGCAGAAACCCCAGCACAATAAATAAGTCTTTATAGACCTGCACCGAGCTGTTAGGAGGCAGTTTAGATTCTCTTGGAAAGAGCCATGTTCTCATTTTGCACATTTTCTGTGTGCTTTCACTCCCTGATCTTTAATAACACCAACTGGCTTTTCCCATAGCTGGTGTCGGTCCCTCTGGGGGGATTTAAATACTACACTAAGCGGTACTGTCATTTACATCACAGTCTGCCCCGTGATGTCAATGGTGCAAAACTGGTTCTTAAAATATCGTTTTCACAAATATTCTATTCAATGATGGTAAGTTGGTTGCCTTGGATTCTTACCATAAGAAACATGAAGCATGAAATATGTTTGTTAGAAGTGCAGAACTCTAAGTGAGACTTCTATAGGTACAACAACATTAAAAGGATTTAGCATTAAATACTCCCTCTGGCTGTACAGGGAATAAATTAGCAGAGATAGGAGAAAAATAAAGTTAACTAGAAATGTGAACTAATAATGCTACCTTAATTGTCCAGTCTGTGCTGTAGTGCAGATCAATAATGAATTAATGTTCTGGGAATTAAGAAAGTCATCCAGGATTTTGGGTATGAACCCCAGTTTCTTTTTTTTATTCTTCTTTTACATGTTCTAAGAAAAGCTTCCTTTTGCCTGGCTGACCTGTCTTAGTGGTTGAGTGTTGACCTATGAACCAGGAGGTCACGGTCAGGGCACATGCCCCAGTTGTGGGCTTAATCGCCAGTGTGGGGCATGTAGGAGGCAGCTGATCAATGATTCTCTTATCATTGATGTTTCTACCTCTCTTTTTGACTCCCTTCCTCTCTGAAATCAATAAAAATATATTTTTAAAGATTCCCTTTTTAAAAAGCAGCTACGCTTGGTGGACCTTGTTTTCCCAAAGTGTGCCAGATGTTTTATTCCTTGCAGCATCTGGTTCTCTCCTGTGTGCAATAATAGAGGTAGAAAACAGTTCATTTGTGAATTGTTGGTAGAGGTATTGTGTTCTGTAACACAGACCATCTTAAGTTCCTAAAGCCACCATCTGAGAGATTCCATCTGGTGGTATGACACTTTTGGACACAGAAAGTCAGAACATCCACACCGCAAACTATTGTCGCAAGCCAATGCATTCATAGGGTGTAGCATAGCTGAGGCCTGCCCTAGCAGCTTGCGTGTATCAGTTCATATAATCAGCACAGCACCAGGTTATGAACGTTCTTTATTGTTATTATTTGTGTTATTCCCATCTTTCACATGCAGAAACTGAGGCTTGTTTGTTGTAAGCAACTTGCCCAAAGACACTGCTCAGGCGTAGGTAGAATTTGAACGCAGGTGTTTCTAGTCCTGAACCTGAGGATATCACTAGGCATCCAAACTGTCAATTGCATTTATTCTCAATACTATGCTGCCTGGACATTCACACCGAATTGCTTTTATTCTCATCTGCATCATTGCCACAAGTTTAACTTACAGGAAGTAATAATTAGCTGGAAGATGAATTTTTGTTTTACAATTTGGGATTTCAGTTCTGGTTTATAATATCTAGTGAACTGAAAACAGTAAAAACAAATGTCACCTGGATTCTCAAAGTGAGATGCTCAGTGCAATCAAAGTGAGATAGTTAAGCAACAAATATATATTTCCCTACATCATTCAGAAAATGTGTTTTGCCTTTTGAATTGTCCATATAGAGACTAGTATATAAACTTCATGACACAGTATATAGGCCTCTCTTGATCCCCACTATATCCCCAAATCTCAATGAGGGATATAGTGCTTTTCGTATTTAGTATTTATTTGGGGGTAAATAAATGTATACGATTTACTAGATCCAATATAGGTATACGATAAAATATTGAAATGGTAATCTGTAAGAAGAGCCATTTTAATAACATGGAGCACAAAATTACTCCTAATTACCAAAGAGAGCGTACAGAAAAAACCCTGGGATGTAGATACTCAAAAATAATGGGCATAGTAGGAAATTCTTACCATCATTGCTTTGCCTTTCTAAGTGGACCAATGATGAGCTTGCAAACTTTTCTTATAAGCATGGAATTAAATTATTTGTGCTTAAATATAAATTCTAGATTCTTAGAGAAGCAGGAAAAATAAACATCTACTGTTCTTTTAAAATTTTCAGCCAATTGGACATATGCCAGAAACATACCATCCTTCACACTGTAACACCTACCTGTCACCAATCTGCTTACCACACAGGACCCTTAAAATAGTGGCCATTTCTGATTAAGCCTGTTGAATGGCAATTTGTAGTGAGAACCAAATGAGAAATTAGATTTGGAATTACTTTGAAAGCTTTAAAACACACTGCAGGTTAAAAGATTATTCATTATATTTTTATATAACTAACCTTCTCTACTTGCGTGGTTGTTTTCTTTGCGTCTGGCCTTATGCACATTTGACAATGGGAGTTCCTGAGGATGGGGCCTTGTCTGCTTTTCATTAGACATTGTCTGGTGCATGACAGAGCTTCAGTGGTAACAGTGGTAGATGGTATTATTGTTGCTGAAAACTGGTAGCAATTTCAATATACAGTTTGGGAATCTGTAATTAATATGTCTTACCTTTTTTATTTCCTGAAAAACGCTGACCTGGGCTTGCTTTTGGTAGTCCCGCCATATGCTTTTAATGTTTTTCCATCCCAGTTTCCTTAACTTTAAACTGGGAATAGGTTTGTCTTCAAGGCTGAATGAGATGTGTTTGAAAGTGATCTTAAGCCCTGAAGAGTCCTCAGTAAGTGAAAGTGAAAGTAATATTAGGGATAAAACAAATATCATGTCTCTGAAAACAAAATACTTTCTTAGAGAAGAACAAAAGTCATCTTCTTCATTATGACTTACATAATTCTGTACAGAGAGAAGATGGTCCAGAAAAACAGCCTTTTAAATATCATTACTAGTATTCTGAAAGATCGTTTGATTTTTTTCTTTTAAAAAGATTTTATAAAAGCAATAATTTCTAGCCTTTTTAATTGCAACTTTGATTATATATGATGAAACACAGAAGTACTCCCGAGAAATGACTCAGCACTTAATATTTCAAGTGATGACTTGTCAGGGGAAGTAGCAGTCCTATTCACTCTGAAAGTGGGTGGTTGTGGATGGTCCCCAGAGGTTGGAAAAAGAGAAAGAAATTCTCCTCCTCTAGAATGGTGATCTGGAATCAGGACAGCAGAGCTAAATCTTCTAAAGTTTATAATGAAAATCCCCATCCAAGTTTTCATGCTGATTCATCTTAAAATGGTGTGTGACCAATGGGTGTGGCAGAAGTCTCTGCCGTAGGAAGAGGATGAAGGTGGCTCTCCAGCTGCTTCCTCTATAGATGAAGTTTTGAAGTTCTGATTTGCTTCTCCCACTAAGCTGGTCATAGTGAAATTTTAAAGATTCCTTCCTTTATAGCTGAAGCATGAGCCCAATAATCCCAATGATTAAAGCCATCATTCTTACTCCGTTCCAGAGTTATTATGCTAAGTAAGGAGTAGCTTAATGGAACATGAGACTTTATCCACCCTCATCATCTTCATAAACAACCCGAAGCTGTCCCAATGAACACACAGTTTAAGTAAAAATAATGAGCTTGCAATGCAGTTCCTCTCAAGACACAGGCCTCATAGGTTTCCTTAAAAAAAAAAAAAGATGACTTGCTGAGGACACATATGTAATACCTTAATCAATAAAGAAATTTTAAAAAAAAGACGACTATCCCAAGTGCTTCCTATATAAAACTTCTGGAGCTTCCCTCAGGTCTCTTCTTTGTGGTGGTTGACACAGACAAAAAAAGGAGGTGCATTTCATGAGCCAGCATGAGTTTCTATCACTGGATCACGCAAAATGCTGAAGTTACCTGGGTTTCCCCGAACCATTCCCCAGGCGCATTGCCATAGTGACATTACCTAATGAGCATGGCAGATGGGGCCAGACGGGCTGAGGTGTGCATCTGCTGCACCTGTCACAGACGCAGACCTCTGCAGAACTGGCCCTCCGGTCTCACTTGCAGTTTGGATATGCTCGTCACTTTGGATTAGTTTCCAAATTAAATGCAGCTGTTGTCACTTTCGTCTTAGCGTCATCTACATCCTATTGGAAGGCATGAATAACAGTTCAGCCCCAGACAATCCTCTCTGTGAGAAAGTATTTCGATATGATAAAATAAACTCTATACCAAATCACATCACCGCTTAGCAATAGAACCTGCCTCTTCTTTTCCAAAATGGATTTATTTGAACCTCTGAACAGTTTATACTACTGGTCAGAAAACTGAATGTGTCCTTTAAGTCTAGGACAGTATCAGTGATGCTGATAATTATAAAAGGTAAAAGTTCAGCCCCAGACAATCCTCTCTGCTAGTCTAATGTGAGAAAGTATTTCGATGTGATAAAATAAACTCTATACCAAATCACATCACTGCTTAGCAATAGAACCTGCCTCTTCTTTTCCAAAATGGATTTATTTGAACCTCTGAACAGTTTATACTACTGGTCAGAAAACTGAATGTGTCCTTTAAGTCTAGGACAGTATCAGTGATGCTGATAATTATAAAAGGTAACAGTACTTTTAAGTTTTCATTCAACCTTTACAGTCAATCACACCCAGAGGTAGTATTATTGCCAGTTTATAGGTGAGGAAATGAGACCTGATAGGGCTTGACAGACTTGGCTAAATTTTCAGGGCCAGTAAGCAGTAGGTCAAGGATTCAAACTCCCATCCTTCCTACATGCCCTTGACCGGAATCGAACCTGGGACCCTTGAGTCCGCAGGCCGACGCTCTATCCACTGAGCCAAACCGTTTCAGCTAAAATGGCTGTATTTTATTCAATACTTGTGATATGTCAAAAGCTGGCTTGTGATGAACAAGACAAATGCAGTCTCCAGCCTAAGCTGCCTTATGGTCTAACGACAACAACAACAAAAGCAAAACACATAATGAAATTAAAGGAAAAGAATAGGGCACTCTGGCCCCAGGGAGCAGATGAATGAAACAGATTCTATGAGGAAACGTACCCTTTAAGTTGAATAGTGGAATTTGGCCAAGTGTAAGTGGGAGGAGACTGAGGAAAGGAGCAGAAAATTGAGCAAAATGAATGACAGAGAATCAGTTGAGAAAACACACAGGTTATTAAGGAAAATGGAAGGTAGCCTATGAGTTACAGAATGGAGAATGAGGGAGATGATGAATATAAAGCTTTAGGGCAGTGGTTCTCAACCTTGGCTGCACATTAGAATCACCGGGGAATCTTTTTAAAATCCTGATTTCTGGGACTCATCCTCCGGAAATTCTGTTTCTTTGTTATGGGGTGGGGCCACAACATTAGTAACAAAGAAACAGAATTTCCGGAGGATGAGGCCCAGAAATCAGGATTTTAAAAAGATTCCCAGGTGATTCTAATGTGCAGCCAAGGTTGAGAACCACTGCCCTAGAGCAGTGGTCGGCAAACTGAGGCTCCGCAAACCGCGGCTCGCGAGCCGCATCGGCTCTTTGGCCCCTTGAGTGTAGCTCTTCCACAAAAAACCAACTTCTGCGACCTCAAAGCTCTTAATCATGAGGGTATCCCACAACTGTTGACACACCGTTTCACTTAGCTGCACCCGTTAACTACAGGGTGTGAGGTTATCTTCCTGGTTGGACTTTATGGAAAATGTGGAGGATGACACTGACCACAGGTCTAGTCCATTCATTTCGTGATGAAAAGTGAGATCATGCCGTCTTAATTTTAGCATAATTAAGAATGGACATGATTTTTGTGAAACTTTGCAACCAAGGACATCATTAACACTTAATGCTTTACCCACTTTTATCCAACTTTGTAGATTTGATGTTTTATGGTTTTCTGGCCTTTTTAAGTGTTGAAAGGGAATAACTTTTGTATATTTCTTTCTCTCTTTTAGAGAAAGAGAAAGTTAACTGTAGTTGTATTTAGAAATAAAAATGGGAAAAAAAAGATAAATAACACATCTCTCACTATATTCTTTTTCTTTTAAAGTTGAATTATCTTGGGCTTTCAACCAGAAAAGTTGGGCTGCTCTGTTATTGATCTGTCTGTTCTATATAAAGATCAGACCATATGCTTCTGTCCAAATTGGCAGGGATTCATTTATAGTCTTTGCCTTTCATACTTTTATTTGTTGCTTACTGCTACAGTCTATAATTTAATAGACTAAATCTCCATATTTCATCCAATAGATTTAAAAAATTACTGTTTTCCTAAACCCATATTTAACAGAATATAATTATCTTATGATCTTTCTAGATAGCTTTCACTTCTCTGGTGAAGTAGTTATGTTCTTAATCATACATTTAAATTATCCCTATAAATTACCAATATTCTGTACCTAATGACGATGTATGTGTGTGTTTGTGTATATGTGTGTGTGCCTGTGGGGGAGGGGAGTAGGTGAAAAGGCAGTTTCTTCATACCACCAAGCAATTTTTGGATACCAGCTGGGTGTCCTTCAATTCAACTCAATTTTGACACTATCCACTCAGAAATAGCATCAGATCCCATGGTTAAGGGCTCAGTCCTACAAGACTGCCCCCTCCATCCCAACTTCAGATGATGAACTTAAGTCCTGGTTGTCACCTGTGCTTCTGACCAACAAGCTGAGCTCAGTTCCAAAGATTTTCTTCTTGGTTTCAGTTAATTTGCTAGAGGGGCTCAGAGACATATTTTACTTACTAGATCACTGGTTGTTTAATATAAGAATATATAATCCAGGGACATCCAGATGGGAGAGGTGTATAGGGCAGCGTATGAGGAAAGTGTGTAGAGTTCCCATGCCCTCTCCAAATGTTGCTCTGCCAAAATCTACCTGTGTTCACCAAACAAAAAGCACTTGGAACCATGTCCTTTGAGTCTCTAGTGAGGTATTGTTGGTATTGGTGATTGAATACAATTTCCATCTGCTCTCCCCTCCCAGGAGGTGGACTGTTGGATTGAAAGTTTCAATCCCCTAATCACTTGGTGGGCTCCCCAGGCAACTAGCCCCCATTTTTTGGTTTCCAAGTGTTATCAAGGAAGTTGAGGTATTCCTTTCTTTCCCCACTGAGTGCTGTCAGTGGAATCTTTATGAAGAATTTTCTGAGACTCACATGGCAGAATGAGTGATGTTTGTTGGTATGGAATTATACCTCTGTGTTTTCAAAATCCCATTTCCCTTAATCCAGTCCTATAAGAAGTGTAGTTGGAGGTTCAGTAGAGGGAGCTGAAAGCAAAGCCAATGTCCAGAGTTTTACTTCCATGTTGTAGCGGGGTCAGTTCAACATTAGGCTAATTACAGTCCATTAGTCCATTGTGTGTGAGGGTCCACATGGCAGTGGGTGAATGGCAGGGAGTAGGGGCATGAGAGACCCGCAAACCAGGGATTAAGTCAAGGGCAATATGCAAAGAGAAATCAAGAGAACAAACACCTTTGTTTAGAGGATTAAATATCTCAAGTTTTGTGCCCTTGCTGTGGCCACCCCTACTCTGGCCAATGATCTTTTTCCAGGTGTGACTGACAGCAAGCACCATGACAAGTCTCCCCCAACATGGCTGGGCATGTGTCTGTCTCCCCTCTGTTAGACCCCTGGGGAGTGTGAAGCTGCAGGTTTCTGGCAAAGATGTCCAAATGACATGCCTATAATATTTGGCCTTTCCTTTCCTCATTTCCTGGATATAGAATAGTTAACAACTAACATTTTCAGCACATAGAGCTGATATGCAGGAGAACAAGATAACAACGAGAGGTTCTGTGGTCTCCTGTTCTGCTGAGAGATTGTGCCCTGATGGGTCTGGAAAAAGAGAATTACTCTGACCATCCAAAGGTATGTTCATTTAGATGCTAATAGACAGATTTCAGTTAAGATAAAGATTGACCTTTGTCAAATAAGATTCAAATAAGATACTGGCCTAGAACATGATTGCCTGCCATGACTACTTCTAATTAGGAAGTTTTTATTTCAAATCTAAGTGATCACTTTAGGTCTCTGAGTTTATAAGGCTTCAGATCTCCATTGAGGTTGTCAGGTTTTGTCCACGGCCCCTTTTTTGTCCACAATCCAAAGTAATATATTTTTATTTTGTCTCTCTGGTATCCTTCTTTGAGCTTTATTACTTTACCATGAAAAAAAAAGTGTGTGTTTTCTTCAAAGATAGGCCATCTGCTGGGAATTTAGGAATGGCTTTTCATTTTGTTTGTTGGTTTGTTTAAGTTATAAAAGTTACTTGAACCAAATCAGATGGTAGTTTAAACAGCTATACATCACCTGTCCTCTTTCATTATACTAATGTATCTTTTATATATGAAAGTGGATATAAACACGGAGTATAGAGAATATGAAACATTTGTTGAAAAGTCAAGAATCTGGAAATACAAATCGATGAAATATCTTAGTCCAAGATGCACAAAGATTTTATTTGCAGTGCTGATTTATTATTAGCATCTGACAAGAATACCATTTAAGAATGTGTAGCCATGCCTTTGCCTACTTTGAAAGAGTATCATGCTCCATTAATAATGTCTGTGTGGGACACAAAGTAGAAGGTGAGCTGCATGTTATTCAATCTTGACTTAGCTGCATGAGATTGGTCTGAATCAGGGGCCAGTAAGCTTTTTCTGAGAAGGAATAGAGAGTAAATATTTTAGGTGCTGTGGCTCATATCTTCTCTGTTGCAACTGCCCAATTCCGTCATTGTAGTGCTAAAGCAGACAAATGCAATAACAAACAAACAGGCATTCTATGTTCTCATAAAATTTTTACTTACAAAAACAGGTGGCAGGCCAGATGTGGAGCATAGGTTATACACAATTAGGTGACCCCAGGTTTGAGTGGTATATCACATGGCTTCATTTGCATGACATGCATGTCATGATTTCTGAGAATACGAGGCTATTCTCCTGGCCAGATATTTGGTGGCAATCTTGTATGCCTGTGTATTACTGGGAAAAAAGAGAGCTTATGAAAACCTGTACTTTTTCAGTCTATGGATCTTCAGACAAGTGAACTGAAGCAACAATCATACATATTATGGTATACTAGTAAATTAGTACCTGTCACACGCATTGGTTTGCCCTTTTTTCTCATCATAATTATTTTTTTTAAGATTTTTGCATTTCTATGTAATTTAAGTCTAGTCTAGATACCATTTTTTATAAGAGAAGGAGAATATGTGATAGTTGCTGAAATGTGGCTATATTAGTCAAAAGTCTTATAGTTACACGTATATGAGCACAACTCAATTGAATTCAGACAAGAAGGGAGGGAGTATAATGATTCTATAATGTGTTTTGAAAAATTGAGAGTTATATCTGGCCTTTAGAATTGGGATTCAATTGTTTGTGATTCAATACAATTTTAACTAGAGATTTTTATGAATAATAGAGCTCATTTCCATCTTTAATCTCTGCATGTATTTGTGCATTTTCTTTATTCTTGTCTCTTATTTGAAAACGAATTTCCTCCTTTTTTCTAATCCACTTGAAGAGAAATATGGTTGTGCAAAGTCTCTGAACGTAGAGTTTCAGCTTCAGAGAAAGATCACCTCTTTTTTGATTCCACTTTAACTTCTAGGAAAGGACTCTTGGATCCAATACCTATCCATGGACTGATCAACGGAGAAAAGTGAGTCTGAGAAAAAGGCTGTGACTGTGCACTGTGGGGAACTACCCTGAGCGAGACAGCTGTGGACAGGTGGCAGTTACACAAATTGGTGCACCTGGATGACCCATGAGGCTATAAGACAAGTTCTCAGGAAAGTGATTTCGTACAAGGGGAAGTGTTTGAGTGTCTTATTCACTGGATTAGAGAGAGAAAGTCTTGTCATTTAAATTCCTCTCTGGCATAGCGTATTCGTTTCTCCATTTCCGTGAAAATTTCATGACAGTTGGGCACTTCTAAGGCAGCTGGCTGCTGAGTGTTTGGAAGCATCATGTGATATTCTTGGTAAGCAGACCATGGGTGGAAATAATTTAGTCTGTGCTTTGTTGTTGGGCCAATGGGCCTTAGGCTGAAAGATTACTCAAGTGAGGACAATGGAATTGAATGTGAAGGATCCGATTAGCAACCCTTGCCTTTTTGTGCTCTGTTTAAGCTACATAATAATTCCTTCTTCTCCCCTGCACTGTGATGATAACCTTCAGTGCCTGCATCTCAGGATCTATTGAAAGTAGCAAATGATGACCCAAAATAATGTGTTCCCTGTTGAAGGACCCCAAAGCGCACATGGCCCTATCTCAGAAGAAATTACTTGTTCTACTGCCAGATTAAAAATTTCCTCCATGTGCAATGCTGAACTGCTACTTCATAACTGCCCTTCAGCAATGTATAGCACTGTGGGCTGAGAACATTGCTTCTTTAGAATCAGAGCCTGACTCACCACAGACATGACATGGTGATTCTCAGTGACAGCATTAGGACATGAGCATTCAAATGCTTTATGCATCTTCTTTGATGTCCCTTCATTCCAAAGCGATTTGGGATATGGAGCGCTTTCTCTCAGAAGGAAACAGAGCTGAGAAATTGCTTTTGGAGTGACATAGCTGGAAGAGATGGGGATTGTCCACCCTATGCCCCTATCACCAAGTTGTCTGGAATTCAATACAATGATACAAAGGTTAATATTTATAAAAATAAGTGATTATAAAAACAACAAAATGATATTTAGATTTGTTTTAAATGAATTTAATAATCAATTTTTATTTTCCTGAAAATATCCTGAACAAAGGACTCTGTGTCTTAGGAATAGCAGGGTCACATGCACTTCAGGTTTCATGAATTTATGAAATCCATTTTGTTTTTTAACCTCACTGGAGGATATTTTTTTCATTGATTTCTAGAGAGAGGGAGGAAGAGGAGGAGAAGGAGAGAGAGAGAGAGAGAGAGAGAGAGAGAGAGAGAGAGAGACTATAGAGAGGGAGGAAGAGGAGGAGAAGGAAAGAGAGAGAGAGAGAGAGATTTTGACATAAAAGAGACACATTGATTGGCTGCCTTCCACAGTCCTACTGGGGCTGGGGAACCTACAACTGAGGTACATGACCTTGACCAGGAATCAAACCCAAGACCCTCAGTCTGAGGGCCAACATTCTAACCACTGAGCAAAACCAGCTAGGGCTATGGAATCCATTTTTTAAAAAGGAGCCTAAAATTTAAAATTACTTTGTTTTTCTTACCAAGAAAAAAAAATCATAGAACTATCTTTTTTATTGTTCTTATTGTAAAGGTAACTTAGTAATATAATATAGAAGAATATAAATCAATAATTAGAAACCCTCTTATCTTTATATCTGATGGCATTCTCCTGTAATTTAAATGAGACCTGAAATCATGAACTTGTGCAAGAGCGTTATCTCACCCCACTTTCCCATGCCCTGTAGGAAATGCATAGTCCTTCACAAGATTCCCATGTTTTCTCAGAGACATAGTTCCTCTCACTACACACAAACTTCACACTAGGTACCAATTTGTAGTTCATTTCAAAGTTGTACCTATAACTCCGTGCTAAAAATATAAAATGTGGTGCAGGGATTATATATGCTCTAATATGCATATTTGGGCATGAGAGAGAGTTGGCCAGTGTGGCTGAGTCGGTTGGTTGTCATCCCATGCACTGACAGATTATGGCTTGATTCTTGTTAGGGCACATGACCGGGTTTCAGGCTCTATCCCAGACAGGGGGCATACAGGAGGCAGCTGATTGATGTTTCACTCTCATATAGATGTTTCTCTCTCTCCCTCTCCCTTCGTTTTTCTCTAAAAATCAATAAAAATATTTTAAGTGTTAATTCTTCTGGAGTAAGGGAACAAGACTCTCTCTCTTGCCCAAGATTGCATATTAAAACATATCTAATTCTTGCACATTTTAGAATGAAGTCAGAGGTAAGGCTTTGTAATGGGCTACAAATCTATAAATAATTTAGAGAAAATAACTTTCTCCCATGTAACTATATCCAACCTGTTTCAGAGACAGATTGATTCCTAGACTGCTTACATTGCCACAGGATTTTAAGAATTCACACCTTACAGCCTTTATGAAGTTCCCTATAAACCAATGGTTTAATGTACAGGAAGGGATAGTTTCCACATATCCACATGGTTTAGAGTAAAGGTTTTTGTATAAACTGGAGGTCTGAATCTCAACGTATCTGAAATATTTACCAGAGAAAGAAAAATAAAGATAAAAATGTTTTTTGTTTCTACACCTTTGTCTACCGAAAGAGAAAACATATAAAATAAATAAATAGTAATATAAAATAATTTCACAATATAAAATATATTATGGCAACATAATATCATGAAATTAAAATGATAAATAATATAAGACTATCGTGAGCTTGCATGTTTACATTTGTGACATGGAGGGTCACAGCTATAGATTTCACCATCAATTTAAACTCTCTACCTATATGTTTGTCTTTTGTTTTGTTTTTGTTTTTCATTCCAAGAAGTTCTCAGCCAAAGCAGAAAGGCATATGTATGGTGGCCAGATGCAACTCACAGCCTCAGGTTCATAAATGGGCAGTTAACTGGAAAATGCCTTTTGAAAAACATGC